TTTAAGCGAGAGATGAGAGAGAGAGAGAGAGGAGAGAGAGAGAGAGAGAGAGAGAGAGAGAGAGAGAGAGTAGAGACAGAAAGGCAGCGTACCTCCATCGTGAAGGCATTAGGAATGCCCAGCTTCCACATTACGACCCGTCCTGTACCTTCCTTACTCTTCTGCACCAAGAACTTGCAACTATCGAACGAAAACTGAAACAGAACCACGTTTTCGCATTGAGAAAATGAGAGCGAGTGACGCATGACATGACACGATCATCAATAACTTTATAGCCCAATGGCAGACGTCCCAAGTGTCCCGGTCTCACCGGGATCGTCCCGGTGCGACATGCTGGTCCCGGTGTCCCGTTAAGAGTCTAGAAAGTTCCGGTCGTAACATTTTTCAGCCATATTTTAAAATTTACATCAGTAAATTACTAAATTTGCCGTGGTTGTTGATGTACTTTGATTCCAGCGAACAATAAAAGGCCACAAATGTCAAACACTTTTGTTTTCACAATAAATTTGCATTTTATTTTATATGTATACTTTATCCAAAATGGTGGTGCGCCGCGACAAACACATGTCGCAGCCCGCCACAACTTTTTCCCTGTTTTGCGCACCGCGAAAAAACAGCGATGGACCATTATCACAAGTGATCCCTTTCTTAGATTTTCCAAACTTGGGACCTCTGCCAATGGCATCAAATGATATAGCGATATATGTGGCAAAATATGTGCTTGTCAAACCTGGGTAGTGCAGTGGAAAACGTACAGGCCTCTACTCCACGCCTGACTGTGTCACGATTACATTACTCCACTATATCCCTATTATCACTACATCCGTCAATAAATGGCGCCACATTGTCAGGCCAACCGCTGCCTAACCTACGCGGTAGGTACTCGATGCAACACCAGAGCACTGGCAACACACTGCACCGAGGTCTATTTTTAGATGTGCATATGCTGTGTACAACTACGTATCAGGGTGACAAAATATAAAAATGTAAAAAATATTTAACTATAACATCCTAATATAGCAACAACAAAAAACGAACGAGCTTCGAACTGCTCACATTTCTCTTGTCTCTGGACAAGAAGTGCGGATGCGCATGCGGATGCGACCTCGGTTCAGCGTGTTGCATCGAGTGCCTACCAACCCAAGCAGCTAAATATAACGGGGGTGTCTATATTCAAGCCGGTACGGGAGATTACGGTACGCACTACGCATACATTTGCTAATATATTGACTAATCGTGCATCAATAAACTCAATATTCACAGAGAGTATAGCTAAGACGTACATGTGTCTATAGGTATCTAGAATATATATTATGCAAATGATTTCCCGTACCGGCTTGAATATAGACACCCCCATACTCTCTGTGAATATTGAGTTTATTGACGCACGATTAGTCAATATATTAGCAAATATATGCGTACCGTAATCTCCCGTACTGGCTTGAATATAGACACCCCCAAATATAACAAGGAGAGGAAGCGCCGCCATATCTGGCCCAAATTTGGGTTCGGCAGAGACCCTAGAACAGATTAGTGTTCTATTGTCTCTGGGTTCAGCCTTGGTTTCAGCTGATTATGGTCCATAGATGGCGCCCTTGAGGCGAAAAGCGCACAGCCAATCCGCTTCCTCTCCTTGTTATATTTAGCTCCTTGTACCAACCTACGCACCAGGTTCGAGGCGCGCTTGCTGAGCATGAAGGGGAAGACGCGCTCCTTCATGCGATTGCTGACGTTTTCCTTGTCCTCGCAGCCGTAGATGAAGATGTTCTGGTTGCGGCTGTGTCCGTGAAGGTCGCAGTACATAAGCACTTCACGCTCCTGCCTCAGCCTGTGACATTGACACATTACTGAAGGTCAGTGCCGGCCCTGAGCGTAGGGAGAAGTTTAGTTTTTTTATTGCCCCTAGCCTTGGTGAGAAAGAAAGAAGGACACCAAAACAGCAAAATGAAAAGAAGAAGGAGAAGAAGACGAAAAAGAAGAAGTAGAAAAAAAAGAAAAAAAAAGGAAGAAGAAGAAAAGAAAAAGAAAAAGAAAAAGAAAAAGAAAAAAAAGAAGAAGAAGAAGAAGAAGAAGAAGAAGAAGGAGAAGAAGAAGACGAAGAAGGGGAAACAGGATGAGAGAAATATACTACATATTTAATTATTCGATACACGTATATCTACAACATCACCATCTCACAAGTTTGGCACATGACGTCAAAAGCAGTGGCAACCAATGATTGATGGCTGTAGTGTAGCAACCCTCTACATCGATATCTCCCCGCATCACATAAACTCATTTGGTTAGATGTAGCACTTAGACGAGCAAACTAATCAACTAAGGCCACAATGTTCGTTAAATAGTGATTGAACAGTCAAGCTCTCCAATCATGTAAAATAATTGAGTACAGCGCTGCGATTAAACAAGCAATATAATCATGGGAGACCACGGGGTTGGGCATCATGAAAAGTCAAGTAATACAATAATGGAAAACAACTGGGTGCAGTATAGTGATTAGACAAGCAATATAACGATGCAAACCCACAGGGGTGAGGTATAGTCACTAGGGCAGTAATATAATCATGGAAACCCTGGGAGTGTGTGGGTGCAGGTGGGGAGGGGGGTATAATGAATTGGCATGCTATCTGATCATGCAGAATGAATAAGCACAGCACTCTCTCAACCGTTATCTGACGAGTAGCAATTAATGACCTTAACAGAGGTTTGCTTCCCACACGTAAGGTCACCAGAGCAGACGAGATGCCATCTTGATGGGTGGTTTTGTCAAATGCAATATGATACGTCTGATGTTAAGTGCCAGCCCTTATTGGTGTGCGTTTCCAGTCGAATTAAGAATAGTAACAATTCAGAATATAACATTCTATCGTCCAGACAGGATAGGATGCGCAGGGGGTGGGAGTCTGGGTGGGGGTCGCTGGTTGTATAAACGTGAACCCTCTCTCACTACGTCCCTTCTCCCACCAATAACACCAACAGTGGTTTTTCGAATTACCCACTGGACTGACTCCAATTCAATCCAATTCAATTCATTCCAATCAATAATTCGGAGAGCGGGATCAAGGGAGCATTTCGAACGTTGTTTTCTGAGGTTTATTACCCCCGCTAATAATTCGAATTAAGCACTGAAGCGAACCAGCCAATCGGTGATTTTGCCTGGAGGGAGGGGGGGATGGGGGAAGCTCACAGTGTTCCCCTCATACATTCCTGCTGCTCCACCGCCAGCGCCACAGCATTTCTTAGGTCGGCATATGTTTCCATAGCTCAGAGTATGATCGTGACGTCACGCACGAACTCGACTATCTCCGAAGGTGAATGCAGAGACCCTAGAACAGATTACTCTCAGAATATATTATATATTCAGAACATTCCTATACAGAACCGTTAGCCGAGTTCGTGCGTGTTTGAAGATTATCAATGATATATTTAAGTGTGACTGGGTTATTTTTACGTTATTAGGTTTTTAGGTGATGGACCTCCCCCATCGAACATTGCTGGATTCACCCACTGATGAGAATCTTTATGCTAACATTGCGTGGTGTAGCTGCATCAGGATTGTGCCCCCACAGTATCAAGTTCAGATCTGTGTACATCACATTCCAAGCGATGGACCCCTTATCCTAACCGTAACCACATCCATATCCTACCAAACTCTATCCCTACCCCTAACTTCTACTCTAACCCCTAATCCTAACCACATTCTTATTCATAATCCTAATCCTAACCCTGACCTTATCCTTATCCATAAGTTGACCCTAACCCTAACAACATCCTCATCCGTAACCCCAACCATATCCTCGCCCCTAAATCAAAATCCCCCTAACTCAAATGCTCCAGCCCCTGACCCTAATCATATCCTTAAACCTAACACAAATCCTTACGGTAATCAATGTAATGGATAGCCACGGGCCACCCACCGGCAATCTCCAATCTACTCTTCCAATTTATTTAATACGGCACGCACGTAACAGCCGACGAAACACACGACTGTAGAGAGAGCGAGTTTTTAATAATACAACGCTCTCTCGCATCGTCGTCTCTCTCTCTCTCTCTCTCTCTCTCTCTCTCTCTCTCTCTCTCTCTCT